GCATGGTGGCTCATGCCTGTAATCCCAGTGCTTTGGGAGGCCAAGGTGAGTGGATCACTTGAGGTCAGGAGTTCAAGACCAGCCTGGCCAACATGGTGAAACCATGTCTCTACTAAAAATACAAAAATTAGCCGGGCGTGGTGGCATGCACCTGTAATCTCAGCTACTCCGGAGGCTGAGACAGGAGAATCACTTGAACCCAGGAGGCGGGGGTTGTAGTGAGCCGAGATCGTGCCACTGCATTCCAGCCTGGGTGACAGAGTGAGACTCTGTCTCAAAAAAAAAAATTGATCATTGTTTTAGTCCTTTGTAGAATATATATTTTTAGTATCATAAAACTTTTAAGCTGTATGTGCATGTGTACTTGTGCGTGACTTCTGAACAAATTGGGTCCAGAGCCTTCACAAATGGCTTTCATTCAAATTTTGATCCTCTTTTGCAGTAAGTTGTTCTTTGAGTTTCTTTCTTACAGTTTAAGCAAAAGACTAACAGTCTCTTTGTTCCCCTTGTGTCTTGATAACAGAGAAGAGACACTAGATTATTCTGAGTTTCTGGAAGCGCTAAAATTCACTAATGGAATCACAGAGTTTTGTAACTGAAACAGACCTTATATATCATCTCTTTTATTTCCTGAAGTTTTTATTTAGGTGGGACAGTAGTGGGTTGCATGAAACAGTTTCTTCATAAACATTTAAAGAAAAAAACTGATCATCACATGTCAGCTCTGTGGCCAAGATGCATTGCTGCCTTTTTACAGTTAGGAGTTGTTTATCAGTCACTTTTGTTTTGATTTTATTTATTAGTGACTCCTATTTTTGTGAGATGTATTAGACATTAATATATAGTTGTTTTCTGTGCTGAAGTTTTATAAGCTTTCTGCTACTCTCATTACTTTTTGGCAGTCTTTTGGCACCATTTACTTGTAAAAGACTAGAATTAGGTATATCATTTTATAGACCCCTTCCCTCAAATACATGTCCTAAGTTACATTTGAGTTGAACACTGTTAACTAGTCTATAGTGACATGAGTACTGATGCTTTGTGTTCTTCAGAACTCTATTTAACAGGTCTTTGTTACCCGTCTGACTTCTGGATGGATGAATTGTTATAAGCTGGGAAAGGTGTCAGAAGAAGATGTTTTACTTCTAAATGTTTCTATTTGTGCTTAGAGTTGTGTGATGGTTCCAGAATTTTAAAAACTTTTTCTTAATAACTCCTTGCGAAAAATCCTGAGAAATTAAATTAAATTATGAATTAAACTGTAAATGTTCTTTTTAAACAGGCAATCCTTTTGTCCCTCCAAATTTATGATTACATATTTTCTGAAGAGTTGCTATAGCAGCTCATGTATAGAAGCATTGGAGTCTCTCTCAATGTCCTGGCAAAGAATAATCAATTGTAGGTTTAATTGTTGGCTTGTTCTATATTTTGTTTTTCCTAAGAAAAAACAAAAAAATTAAAGCTAATGTCAATTGTTGATTTCATAGTAACCTTCTATGGGGTAACCTGCATGTACTCAAAATAGGTCCCAGACTTTTAATGATACTTTATTGTCTGTATTAGAATTTAGACTGTTATTCAGAATTGGGAGAATTGGCCTATTTTTGTGGCACAAAACATGAAATCATCAATATAACATAAAACATTCTTTTTTTTTTTTTTTTTTTTTGAGACCCATTCTCACTCTATGGCCCAAGCTGGAGTACAGTGGTGTGATCTCAGCTCTCTGCAACCTCTGCCTCCCGGGTTCAAGTGATTCTTCTGCATCAGCCTCCCAAGTAGCTGCACCACCATGCCCGGCTAATTTTTGTAGAGATGGCGTTTCACCATGTTGGCCAGGCTGGTGAGGCTCCTGGCCTCACGTGATCCACCCACCTAGGCCTCCCAAAGTGCTGGGATTACAGATGTGACCCACCACGCCCGTTCTAAAACATCCTGTTTTTAGTAGCATTTAACAGAATTATGTTCTACCTGAACTACTTGAGGTAGTTTTTAGATTAGCATGTGCTTTTCTACCTTTTACCTAACAGGAGGACTCATAGTCTCTTTTATGCTAACATAAATCACAGTTAAGAAGTAACTGAAGCTGTTGGCCAGTTACTGGGTGGCAGAGCAGCTAAACTTAATTTTGCCAAAAGTAAAAAAAAGGGATAATTTGAGAATCCAGTTGGATAATAGTAAATCATGTCATTATTTAAAGGTTAACTCGTATGGTTATTTGAGGAGTCTTTTCAGGCAACCTTATCCTTCTTGGGAATTATGTTAATTACAGTTCTTTCATGATAGAGATAAATTCCTTTTGAAATTTTCTGGGGAGGTTATTTCTCCCAGCATCTGTGTTTACAGTTTTGCAGTTTGGGCATTTGTATAAATCCAGAGATGATTTTTGAGAAGTTTTTGTGTTGGCAATAGACAATTGTTTTAATCTTTTGAAGAATAGGTAGTTCTCTATTAGGAAAAGAATGTAACATCCAGCATCCGCTTGGCAATCTCTATTCTTGGCATCTAGAATAGTCTTTTTCAAACCAAGGATCCTGACCAGTTAGTTTATTGTTAAAACACTTTAGTGGGTCATGGCAAGCATTTAAAACTATATGGCATTGAATAGAAAGCCACATAGCATGTTTGCTTATATTAAAACTTAGTAATATTTCAAGAAAGTATATGAATGTATATGCTTGTGCTGCATTACAATGTAATATTTCTTACTGGGCGAAGGTTAAAAGAGTTTGGATCTGACTGATTTGAAGCAAACATTTTCTTTCAGTTAATGTTATATAGGCCAAGAACTTTACTGTTAATAACAGTTTATTAATATTGTCATTAATAACTTTATTAATAACAGTAAAGTTTTAAATTGTGGGCTTAGTACCTCCTGTAAGACATGCTGACAGTTTCTACTTACAGAGAGTTTAAGTGTATTGCATTCATTCATTCATTCATGCATGCATGCTTCTTCAGTGCCTTCTGCATTTTATTTCGGTGTAAAGTGAAACCACTTCTAAACTGGATACCTGGGTTACTCAGTTCTGTACTCTCTGAATTATATACCCTTCACTTTTATTGAAGTACCTTATAAAAAGCTGCAGTTGGTGGGCTGTTTCTGCATGTCTCTAAA